TCACGTTCCCACTCTGCCATAAAAAGGTTTGCGTACGAAGGGGCGAATCGTTTGCCCATTGCTGTCCCTGAAGTTTGTAAATATGTTTTACCATTAAATGTGAAATCGTTTCGACTAAGACAAATCTCTAAAAGCTGTAGAATTGCATCGTCTGGTCTGTTTGGATCTGGGTTTCTATTAAAAGCTTTACGAACTGCCGTTAAACCAGTAGTGTTATCGATATTGGTATACATAGAAGAAACGTCGATAGAAATTAAAATAGCATTAGAGGGAACTCGAAGATTTTTTATTTTATTGACAAAATCGGTTGTGTCTTTAAGGTAGGCGCGATGTTAGCATGCTAGAGGTAGTAAGAAATGATCAATGTATTCTGACACTGCATATGACTCACTACCACAGTCAGATATAATCGGGCGGCCTTTAGGGATTTTATTCGAGATAAACCACTCATTGGTTGGACTCTTATGGATTTTAGGCAAAGTGTACAAATGTCTCTCGCGACAATCAGGTTTGGCAGACAGATAGTCATATTGTTTCTGTTTGAGATAACTAGTTTTGACTAAATCGGCAAGAATATTATTAATCATGTTAGCAGTTTCTTTGAAAATTGGTTTCGGTAAAATGGCATAATGTTTAGGATTATTCAGTTGATTCTCTGCTTCTGAAACGTAATCCTCCCTATTCAGAATGACACAACATGAGCCTTTGTCACTCTTTTTAATAACAATGCTATTGTCTTTCTTAAGTAAGTTTAACGCTTCACGTTCCACTCGTGTGAGATTAGGCTTTTCGTGTGTTATGGAAAGGTTCACTGTTTGGCTATTCATACTAGCAAATGCTTTCAATATTTCAGGATGGATGGCGGTCTGAGGGGGTGTCCACGTGGATTTAGGAATAATCATTGTTCTAGCACCACGTGGGGGGTGGTTTCGAAAAAAATATGTGCAGCTAAGATTTCGTTGAAATCGTTCTATGGATGGTCGGAGATAATTCAAGTTAGCTATCTTTGGTGTGGGAATAAACTTAAGTCCACGGTCTAAGATTGAATGCTGAAGGGGTGTGAGAATTTTGCGGCTCAAGTTAACTACAGTTTGGCCTAGCGGTGGCCTCTCAGTATTTTTATCCCCAGTAATTAGTTTAAAGACTTACTCGATGCTTGAAGCTGGTGTATCCAAAACAAATAAATGCTGTTTGCTGTTTCTGGAGACCAATGAAGATTATCAACTGTTTCGAATTCTTCTTCGTAGGGTGGTAAGATTGTTGCGCTGTTGATACTGGACTCCATCATCATGTTGTTGAGGGTGCTGAGGTTCTGTTGTGCTTTCTTCGAGATTTTATTTGAAATGGGTATACATGTGAAGAGGATCTTGGAGTTTGGGAAGGTTTTGTTGGCTGTGGCGATTAATTTCTGGGCTTGGTTAAAGGAGGTCTTTGGTACCTGATCACGATTGTTGAGGCCTACATGAAGAATAATGGTAGTAGGTTTGGGATCATGGTCGTATGATTCCAGGATTGACTGTATGTGATGGATTTGGGCACCGGGGTAAGAATGTATTTCGGTGTCTGAACTGGTTTTGGTAATTCGATTCAGGTTAGATGATCCAATTATTAAGGTTGATTTCTTTAGAGCAGGTAGTTTCCATAATGATTTGTCCTTGGTTTGGTGATAATACGGTTTGGTAGCGGATATAATGGTCGGTGTGATTGGTACTGGTTTGGTAGTTGTTAGAATTGTAGCATTGGGAACGGACTGGGATCTGGTTCGAGGAGGGGAAGGTCTGGATACATGTCTCGACTTGGATGGAGACTGAGGGGTGATTTGCTGGTCCAAAAACGCACAGAAGGAAGAAAGGTTGGCGGATCCTGGATCACGTGGTGAAGATTCAGATGGTGTGGAAGGGGAAGACGAGTCTGAAAGTGAAAAGAGAAGGGGTGTGCCCTCTCTACGAGAGCGTTTACCTATGTCTGCTGGACTAGGAGTTCCGTTGATTGTTTGGTAGAATTTGGAAATTACAGCTTGAGTGAGACGTTTCCCATAGGAGCGACGGGCCCATGACAGGGCATGAGAAACGATGCGGTCGACGGCAGGTGATGATAAAGACTTGGTACGAATGGTGGTCAGCTTCTCTTGAAGTGTGGTTTGGTAATGGTCGATCAGGACCTGCGTAACCTTACAGAGCCATGTCCGATTGAGGGATCTAATATTCGCGTCGACAGCTGATGTTTTCATTGCTGGACGGATAAAACTATCCAACTCAGAGACTTTGCGTTTGAAGGTAAACGCTGGTTGGCCTTGCTGTTGAAGGGTAAGGATTGCCAAATGATGGAGGCACTGCAAAACTTGGAAGAACACCTTCACAAAGGGTTCTTCCTCCTTATGAGTGGGGACTGGTTGGCGTCGGTGGGCTGGTAGTCGTTTCTGTTGTTGGTCAGGTCGATGGTTACCTCTTGATTGGTAGGCTGTGTTGTAGGTAGGTCGGCGATGGGGTGGGATATAGCTGGATGGGTTGGTTGGTGGTCGGCGATTGGTAGGTGGTAGAGGTCGATGGAAGACAGGGCCGTTGTAGGGTACGTGATATTGGTTTGGTTGACGATTAGTGTTTCTATTTCTGGCTTCTTGCCAGTGGTTGTTGTAGTTGGGGAGCATAATGAAAATAACTTGGGGTGAGAAGGGAATGTACAGCGGATG